GCTCGACGCGCATAGTAATCACAGGCCCAGGCGGGTGGTCCGTAAAGTACAATCCAGCCTCCTAATTGAGCCTGATAGATATAGATCCAGGCATACACAGTGTTGACCTTATTTAGCTTACTGAGAATTATAACAAAACTCAGGTTCTATCCTTGAGGCTTTTTTTTTAAGGCAAGGATAAGAATTTAGTGACTGACAGTGTTAGCATCATGTGTCACGACATGGTGGAATCAGGTACTCGTCAATTTGGGGGCATTTAGTAATATATTAATATCTTAAAGCTTGTTTATTTTTCTTGCATTTGGCGAAAAAAATTCTCAGCTATGTTGAATAGAAGTTGAGATATTTGCGATTGAAAAAGAAAGAGCCAACTGGTTTGAGAGGTAAAATGATCGAGAAAATGGCTTCCATAGCTTGAGAGTCCTTGGGAAATTAAAATTTACATTTTTTGGTCCTCTAATCAACGTTTTTCAGTAAAAATCCCCTCAAAAATGTGTTTTTAAATGGAAATTAAAGATGTTGAGCCAAAAAACAAAAAATTTGAAAATAATTACCACACCCGCAGAACAATGCCGTTTTCTTTAATTTTATTATTTTGACGAGCGCCCGATTCCACCACGATGCCTCACATATAATTTGTCCTTTACTTTTAATTGGTTGTGGCAAATTAAAATTGTTTTGTTCTTTTAGATTCCAGATTCTAGTGATGGGGTGAACTTAAATTGTCAAATTCAGCTTCTTCTGATTCTTTAACCCATCAATAATTCTATATCATGCTTAGTACTGGGGTTGTTTTTTTTTACAATAATATGTGATTTACAGTGAGAAAAATTTATTTTGGCAATGGAAGCCAGTCATTTCGTCACATGGTCATCTCGTCACACCCCAATTATGTGTGATGAATTGACTTCACTTATCTCTCCAAAATTGTTATAATGCTAGTATAGTTTTTTGTGGATCGGCGTCATAAGTCTTTATTCTAAATCACAAATTCAAGCATGTAGTGGTTGGGGCGTACCCTCTCGTTTTTATGCGATTTAAGCGTTAAATTGCCCCCACCTTTCCACGAATGAAAACAACTCAACTAAACTCTCCCAGTTTTAAACAGTGTAGCTGATCGGGCAGGCATGACGACTCGCATCCCCCCCCCACATCCTTCCAAACACCACACAACCCTCCCAAAAATTTGTGATTTGAGATTGCCATGACTGGTGCCCTTGGCAATGACTGACTGCAATTTATTTCTTGTTATAGGCCTATATGTTTAGACTTCAAAAGTCATCATGTTTTAAATTCCGTCTTGGTTTTATCACAAAAAGTATCATTTGACACTGTCCTTCATGTAGACAATATTCTACCACTTTTTTCCAGAGGTATCTTAACATAACAGGAGGAATTATTAACTATAAACCATGGCGACAGCTGTTGTGATTGGTGGCGGAGCAAGTGGCTTGGCTTCTGCTTACTACATTCAAAAGTTTCTGCCTCAGTTCACCAAGGTAATTTTATCATAATGATGATTATATTGGCATATATATATATATCTTGTATTGTTTACTTTTTATTTCCCACCCAAGGAAACTTCATTGAACAGCTGCCCCTCTTTAATACAGCCCTGGCCGTTTTCAAAGCTTCCCTAGCCTACAGGTTTTCCTGGCTTTTTTTTTCTCAGCATAAGTTTTGCTTTTGTTGGGAAGTTTTCCCGAACATCTGCCTTGGGCGTTCATGTTAGGGTTTTGCTTGAACAACTTTGTGTTTCTGGTTGTTGGCTGCTTCTGCTATAAATGTGAGGATTGTTAATCTTATAAAATATATATCACAACACTGTGGTATCCGGCACTCGTTAATTTTGTTTTGGCATGCATATATATGGAGTTATTGGTATCTACTTAAAGCTTGTTCATTTGTCTTGCTTTTGATGAAAAGAAATACCCATCTGTCTTGAATAGCTGTCTAGATATTTGCAAGTGAAGGTGCTAGGGAGTCTTCTGGTGTCAGAGGTAAAATCAGTAAGAAAATGGCCACCAAAATTTGGTAACTTCCAAAATTTGAGTTTCTTTGAAACTACAAATTTGCATTTTTTATGCCTTTGGCCAATCTTTTTCAGTTAAGTCTACATACAGGGTTCCTGCTGGTCTTGAAAACTCTTGGAAAAGTCTTGGGAAAAAAATCTACTGTTCAGTATGAACCCTGCACATAGAAATTAAATGTCTTTTTAAATTGACTTAAAAGGTGATTGAGCAAAACAAAACAAAATTCTATAATATTTGCGCATGATTTCAGGATGATGCCACAAAAATTGGGAAAAGTCACAGGAAGAAATGTAATAGCTGGGCTGGACTGACAATTAAAATTTTTCTCGCTACTTGTGTCGACGGTTTCATTCCTATAGCTTGAAATGAAGATTTCATCATACTAAAACAAATTAAAGGAAATTCCTATTTTTTCATTGAAGACTAAACTTGAACCCTGTTTCATTTCTTCGTATATTCCACACTGAGGTGAATAACTCTAAATCCATTTCTTTTAAGAGTAAATACAATTGTATGAATCCTGTCAAAGTGATGGTAAGCTTTTCATTGAAACAGTGTTTTAATAGTATCAAATATTGTCAGCATCATTCCACAAGCGTCTTTTTTTTTTTTTTAAGTTTTGAGAAAATTTAAGGCAAAGTAAAAGAGAGTTCCTGAATGAGAACCATAACTCCTTTTATGACATTTTTCTTGGATAACTAACAACCACATGACATATTTCGTTGTGTTTATTGAGGTTTTAAGAAGGCTCCATCTCTTTATCTATCTTTTAATGTTATATTTCAGGTTATTGTCCTAGAAGGTTCTAATCGCCTTGGAGGTTGGGTTAACACAACACAGAACCCAGATGGCTCAATATTTGAGCATGGACCACGAAGTTTACGACCAGTCGGGGAGCAAGGCTCGAACACCTTGCAACTGGTATGGTCAGTGATGGGAATTAAGCCGTTGCTTTTCCCAGAATATATATATGTATACCATGTTCAATAATTAATTCATGTTTTCTCCATGGGTTTGTTTATATGATGTTTAAATATGGAGTTTCTAATTCATTCAATATAAAGCCTTTGCATCTGGTTCATAGTTCTTTTTATGCTGTTGCCCATTCTTCTTTATTATAAATCATAATCCATTTGATGTGTGCATATACTTTTGTTTTTTCCTATTGCACATGTGTCTGTGTGTGCGTGTTTGTGCATGCATGTGTGTGTCAGTCAGTTGAAAACTACATTTTGTACCTAATATGAAATGTGGGTTGGAATGATGGGATGAAGATTCTTTCCCTGGAATATTCTCTGCTGGTTTGCAAACAATTTGGGTACTTTTGTTCTTGTCTTGCGGTTGGTTGGTGAGTATTGTGATATTGCGCGTGCCTTTTCTTCTTCTTTTCAATGTATTTCTGGTCGTAATCTGCTGCTGGAAAATGTTATCATTATCAGTAGACCTGCGACTACAACAACATTACTGCATTTTCTTGTGTAATCAAGAGTTGCCGGCTTCTTTTCTGTTTATCTACCCTGACAAAATTGGAGCTCTCCGATTTTTTTTAAAACTCGTCTGAAAACCTCGGTCAGATTTGCATATAATCCTTTCTCTTTTTTTTTTTAGTCGTATATATATGCATCATATTGTAAATAACGTGTAATTCACAGTTCTATTTGTTTGTATTTTTGCTAGATACCGGTTTATTTGCCACTTTCGGTTTTTTTATGTAGTCTTAATCTGCTGGGATTCTGGAGACTGATTATTTTTCCCCATGTGTTTTTGGGGGAGGATTTTAGGGAAAAATCTGATTTTTTTTGTCATGAAGTGTTGACAGGTCGGCTTTATTGTGCTGGCTGATAGTGAAATGCTGGGCAACTACAACCACATTACTGGGTTTTCTTGTGAAATCAAGAGTCGCCAGCTTCTTCTCTGTTTATCTGCACCAACTTTGTTTCTGTAACGTGTTAATGACTAATCATTTGTTTGCATTTTTTAATCTACTCAATGTGATCAAAATCATTGTGGGGGTATATTCAAACTTAAGCTTTGACTGCACCGGTGGTATAGCAGTTAGGGGCTTTGCTGTTTCATGCAGGAAACCTTAGTTCAATTCCCGAGCAGTGAGGAAATTTTTTATGGAGCATCTTGGTCTTTCTGCTGGGATATTGTGTCCCTCTCAGCCCAGGCTGGCCCTGACAGGCAGAGTCAGAAGCCCGCCTCCTAAATGATCTAAATTGTGGAGGATAGAAGCATGAAATACTCCTTCATTTAAAAAAAAGGGGGACGAATTATTTCCTCAATGTGTTAGCTTGACGGCCGGTTGTTGTTGTCTGTGTTCAGGCAGAAGAGCTGGGACTGGAGAGAGACATTCTGCCGATCTTCCGGTCAGACGCAGCTGCTAAAAACAGATACCTGTACGCCAAGGGAAAGTTATGTGCACTGCCTAATAGTAAGTTCAGCCAACATTTTTAATTTTGTTTCTTTTTTGTTTCCTTTTTTTTTTTTTTACTTGTTTGAAAAAAAATTCTTTTTGTTCATACTGTGTAATTGGTAGTAGGTGGACTGGAAGCGTTTATGTCATCTGCGTTTTAATTCTGTTGTCAGTGCTGCTGGTAAAAATAGATACTTGTTCGTCAAGGGAAAACTAAATGCACTGTGTGGTAGTAAGTTTAGCAAACATTTAATTAATTTATTTATTTGAGTGCTCTGGTGTGGTTTGCTCCTTCTTTCCTATTAAGCATATTTCGTCTTTAAAAATCCCTCTCCTCCTTCTTTTTTGTGTTTGTAACTCTCTTGTAACACCTAATCTTCGGCACTTATATGACCTTATTATGTTGCAAGTGCTGTAAAACACTTAGATTCTTCTTTAAAAAATCACTTTTTCCCTGCACAGTTGATCACTTTGTCCTGGACACTATTTGTATGATGATTAATAAGATAAGATTGGATAATACGGTCGAATTTGTCTGAGACAGACCACCCATGCCCATTGTCGAGAGAAAAGTGGTTGTTTTAGACAGGTAGAAGTCTTACACAGTATCATTTATGTAATAAAAAAACCAGCAAAGGGGAGAACGGGAAGTGGCCATTTATACAGGTGATTGTCTTATACAGGTGATTGTCTTATACGGGTAGCAATTAAAGCAGGTTCTACTGTATTTGTTAGGGGTGCTGACAAAATTATTTATTTCTCGCATTCCACGAATGGAGACAATGGCCGAAAATCGGGATATGGATCAAATTTGTAGGTTTTCAACTAGTGACATTTTCTTCAAGTTAGTGGATGATTGGTGGGTACTCTTGTTGGTTTGCTTCTTCTTTCCTATCAAACATCTTTCATCCTTATCTTTCCTACTTCATGGGTGGCTAGCGGGCACTCTTGTGTGGTTTGCTCCTTTCCTCCATCGTCCTTCTCTCTCCTCCTCCTTTTTTATGTTTGTTACTCTCTTGTAACACCTCAAATCTTTGGCACTTATATGACCGAAAAACACAAACATATTTCAAGTTTAATGTGTCTTTTATCATTTCATATTAACTCGTAAAAACTCAGACTATTGATTCGATGAATCTATATCCCTTGGGCTAAAATCCAAGACGTAACTCATTTTTTTGTCTCACATTTCTTTCTCTGTGCCCACAGGTCTGATGGGTGTTGTCCGAACCATTCCTCCTTTTTCCAAACCTTTGATCCGCTCGTTTGCTTTGGAGCCTTTGAGAAGAAGATCGAAAACTCCAGATGAGACCATCCACAGCTTTTTCAGCAGACGACTCGGGGGAGAAGTAAGTTTGATTCAGATTGGGTTTTTTCCCGCATGACAAATTCCTGTGGTGTGTCTGTCCCTAGGTTGTTTTCTTTTTTTCTGTTCTTTTTTTTATATGTCGTACATTATCAAAATTGTGTTGATAGGGGCTTAAAACATTTATGGTTACTTTTTAAAATTTTTAATCAACAGATCCATGGGGACTGAAGAACATTGTACAAAAAAAACACTAAAATAATCACAGCTGCAGAAATTTTCAAGTTGCAACTGATTTTGGGATTTTTTCCAATGGGGAGCACGGTTCAGAACAATAATACTGATAATTACACTTACGTAGTGCATATTCACACTCTACAGTTTGTTCTATGCACTTTACAACTATTCTTACCCCTGTAGATCCCAGTACAGAACTCAAAAACATGTGATGAGGACCATTTGTTCTTTGCTTTTTTTTTTCAAGACTTGTAGGCCTATTAGTGTTTTGTTGGAGGGTTTTTTGTATTTTTTTGTTTGTTTGTTGTTGTTTGTTTTGTGGGGGGGAGTTGTGCTCTTTTTATTTTGCATCATTGTTTTGTTTAAATGTCATGTTGTTATTCTTTTAAATTCATTAGTAAATAGTGGATTTATTGAGAGTTAAAAATATCACAATAATTTGATCTAAGGAAGACAGGCTTTTTTTTCGTTTTTTTTAAACAAATATTATTAATCAGGGTCGCAACATTGTCTCATTCCCAGTTTGCAGATATTGCCATAGATGCAATGTGTCGAGGAATTTTTGCTGGGGACTGTCGCAAGCTAAGTATTGAGGCCTGCTTCCCTCCCTTGCACGAGATGGAAAAAAGCCACGGTTCTATCGTGACAGCTGCATTATTTGGGTCCAAAGGTAAGCAAATATTTAAGTTATTACTTTCCTATTAGGAAGCTTGAACAAATTAAATATATGGGAAAAGGCCCAAGTTATGAGGGTGTGTTTTATCGGGTGTCTATTATAGACTCTATAAATAGAAATGTGCAACATGTCGTGATTACTACTACACTGATATTATATGTGAGGCATCGTAGTAGAATCAGGCGCTTGTCAAAATAATGAAATCAAAGGAACAGGCATTTTTCCGCCAGTTTGTTAATTTTTATCATTTTTTGGCTCAACACCCTTTACATCCATTTAAAAATTCAATTCCATGTGAATTCTACTGAAAAATCTTCATGAAAGGCTCAAAATGTGTAAAATGTCCAGTTTTCAAGGACTCTCAAGCCATTGAAATTACCAAACTTTGACTGCCATTTTCTCGCTTATTTTACCTCTGAAACCAGACGACCCCACCTCCTTCAATTGCAAATATCTCAACTTCTATAATTTAAGAAAGATGGCTGTTGTTTTCATCAAAAGCAAGGTAAATAAATAGCTTTCAGATGATACTAACTCCACATGCTCAAAAATTGACCAGCACCTGATTCCACCGCATCGTGCCACATGTTTCAGACTGGTTTGCCAACTGCCCTGAATTTCTGGAGGCTGTCTTCGATTCGGCAATTGGGACTTTGAGAGTTTATGACTTAGACTACTAACAAAACTAGTTCGACTTGATGAAATTTTGTTCATTGATACGTAATTCGATCTTAAAACATTGAGTGTCCCTGATTGGGTTTTGAAAAAGTTGGCAAGTCTGGTTTCAGACCTATTTAGGAGATGAAGAAATTACATGAGCGTGTCAACTTTTGGTTCTGTAGGTGAGACAGACACCTGACTTGTGTGTTACTAAATCTCCCAATTCCCTGATGGAAATATTTGTGAACTTATTACCCGTTTTGTTCTGTTGAAGTACTCCCAAAAATGATGCATTTTGGTACAGCGGTCTTTTCTTTTCTTCATATTTTTCTACTTTTTTGCTTTACCGGTACCCTCTTTTTTAAGGAGGAAAATAAAAGTCCTTTGTTTCATTCCCCCCCCCCCCCCCCCCCAAGTCAATTCCTATGAGTATATTCCTCCCTCCCCCCCCAAAAGCCAATTCCTATGAGAATCTCGAAAAGTGCATACATTGACCCTAGCATGTCCAGAAGTTAACAACAGGCTTAGTGTTTTGAGGACCCGTAAAGTCGTTGTTTCTTTTGGGGGGTTTTTTCCCCGTTTGTGCTACCCTTTTTTTTTCAAAAGAGAGAGTGGGTAGTTGGAGAGCACCACTGGAAGGTCCAACTTCTTTTCTTTCCCCTCTGTTATTTTTGTCTATCTGTCTTGCTTTTTTCCTGCACTGTATGATAACCGTCATTGTGTCAGTGTGCTTCTCTTTACTTTACCTCAAAACTCAAAGGGGGTCTCGAGTGGTCTAGAGGTTACGGTGTTTGTCTCTCATTCAAAAGTCCCGGGTTCGAAACCTGACAACAACGGAAAATGGTCTCCTCTAAAATCTTCTCCTTTCACCTCCTTTCCTGCTCTCTTATCATGTAATGTTTTCTGCTTTCGCCTCCCCTTCCTGCCCCCGTCCCCTCACCTCTTTTGCGCCCTCCTCTGGGCTCCTGACTTTTTCTGCAGCCTTTCTACTGCCACTCTTTGGCTCCTTCTTACTGCTGTCTTTCATCCACACCCCTGATCTTATAGTAGATAAGATCTACACCTAGCCACTCGGATAAGGGTGAAAAATCTCGGAGGTCCTGTGTGCTAGTTGGGCACTCTAAAGATCTATCCCTCGGTGGTCCTAAAATCGATAAGAGTAGGCTTCGGCCGCCACCCGGGTGAAATTTTAAATTCCAACCAAACCGAAAATGCGTTTTAATGCGTTCTGCATGCTCATGCGACCTTATGCAGTTGCGAGTGCCGTAAAACACTTACCAAAAAAAAAAAACAACAAACAAACAAATCAGGGTGGAAAAAAGACCAACTCATCCTGTTTTTCCTTCAGGAGCCAAGCCCGCCCCGAGTGGTCTGGCCAAAAAAGCCGCGGAGGAGAAGTGGGCATCGTGGTCCCTGGCTCGAGGACTCCAGCAGCTCACGGACGCCATGGCAGACGCTGTGATGTCACGGCCCGGGGTGGAGGTCCGCACAGACTCCCGCTGTATCAAACTGGAGCCCAAGGAAAATGACAAGATGCTGGTGAGCTTCGAGTTTTTTTGTTGTTGTTTTTTTTTTAGTAAGTGATTTACGGTACTTAACATCAGTTTTTATGTTGATGTTAAATGTTGTGGCATTCACAGTCATCATTTTCCTCTACTTCTTTTGTATGTTTGTCACTCTCTTGTGAACTGCTATTTCCGGAGTGCCTTGATAGTCGAAGCAGACTTTGTGCTGTTGGGGCTAGAGAGGTGAGTAGAGTAAGCCCGATTCCCCGTTTGGACTTCTCTGCTGACATCTACCCCTTGGCGCTTATATGACCTTATGTAGTTGCAAGAGCTGTAAAACCTTTCTAAAACAAACAAGCAGAAATGCGAGGAGCATGCTGATAGCTTGATTTCTTGGATGTGGAGTTAAATCCTACCATCTTTCTTGGGTGATAATGATCAATTTATATTATTGTGCATTTTTGATAAACAAAGACCTTAACTTAATTAAAATACAAACAATATCTTATAATCCTCCACATGGTGATGAAAAAATGCCAATTTTCTACAATTTAATGTTCATGCTGTGAACACCAATTGAAGTGCCAAAATGTTATTTTTATAGCATGGCCTACTTTTCAGTGTTCTTTGTATTACTCATGTGAAAGGAAAGCGTAAAGACTCAAAAGAGTAGACTTTTTACACAGTCAAAAAGGTACCTTTATTTTGATCGTCAGTATATTATTATGAACATTAGAGTACTATGGATAAGAAAAATACAAAATGTTAATGTTTTTCAATATAAATTGGATATTGGAATAATTCAAGGAAAATGTGCCAGGAGATGGGGGTTTAGGTATTGGTGGGGATGAAAATATGGGTGAACAAAATGTTAATGTTAATTGTTATTAATATAAATTGATATAATTCAAGGAAAATGTTGCTTCTTCTTTCCTGTCAAACATCTGTCGTCCTTATCTCCCCTTCTTCTTTTTTATGTTTGTTACTCTCTTGTAACAGCTCTAATCTTCTGGCGCTCATATGACCTTATGCAGTTGCGAGCGCCGTAAAACTTCTACTAAAACTAAAGCAAAAATACTTTTACTTTTGCTTACTTTTTTAGGTACAGACAAACTCAGACTCAATAACAGCTGACCTCGTCGTTTCTGCCGTGTATAGTAAAGGTAAGGCCCTGTCAAATAGCAGTCCTTCGGGAACTGCCTTGTTTGGAACTTTTGTTGACTTTTGTCTTTTGTCTCAGCAAAGTGGATGATAGGCGGGTGCTCTGGTGTGGTTTCCTTCTTCTTGCCTATCAAACATCTTTAGTACTTATCTCTCCTCCTCCTGGTGGGTGGTTGGCGGGTGCTCTTGTGGTGTGGTTTCCTTCTTCTTGCCTATCAAACATCTATTGTACTTATCTCTCCTCCTCCTGGTGGGTGGTTGGCGGGTGCTCTTGTGGTGTGGTTTCCTTCTTCTTGCCTATCAAACATCTATTGTACTTATCTCTCCTCCTCCTGCTGTATTTGTGAATGTTTCTCCCCAGATTTGGCATCTGTCCTCCCTAATGCGATGTCCGATCTGAAAGAAGATTTGTCCAGTCTTCCAGCTGTTAGTGTTGTCACGGTCAATCTGGAGTACAAGGATAACGTGTTGCCCGTCAAAGTAAGCATGGCGGTGGTCTTCTTCTTCTTCTTCTTCTTCTTCTTTTTCCTTTTTCTTGTTGCTTCTCCTTCTCCTTCTTCTTCTTCTTCTTCTGCTGCGCTCATATGACCTTATGCAGTTGCGAGCGCCGTAAAACCTCTACAAAAACAAAAAACTTCTTCTTCTTCTTCTTGTTGCTTCTCCTCCTCCTCCTTCTCCTTCTTCTTTTCCTCCTCCTCCTTCTCCTTCTTTTTTTCCTCCTCCTCCTCCTCCTCCTTCTTTTTCTTCTTCTTCTTCTTCTTCTCCTTCTTCTTCTCCTCCTTCTCCTTCCTCTTCTTCTTCTTCTTCTCATTTTCTCAGCACACCTTGTGTAGAGATTTCTGTGTGTTTTCCCAGGGATTTGGTCACCTGTTGCCCTCCTCTGAGAGCGGGCCGATCCTCGGCATTGTCTACGACTCGTGCACCTTCCCAGAACACAACAGGAGAGGTGCTCCCGACAGCACACGGATCACTGTAAGTGAAGCTGTTGCCGTCTCATGTTACGGTTGTGGCCAGTTAATTTGTTCCGCTCGGAACATGTTGCTCTTACAGACCTGTCAGGAAGGGTTTTCTCCAATATTGTAATCTGTATTCTCCATTTTTGGGGGCTTTTTTGTCTGTCGAAGAACCTCGACTGGATTTGCGATTTGCTTTTTGTTTTTGTTTTTTTAATTCCATTTTGTTGAAGTTGTATGAATTTTTTGGTGAATGACATGAAAATAGATATTATATTTGCACTATCTGTTGTACATGACATGAAATTACGTATTCTTCCTGTTTTTATAAGCAATATTTGCACTTGTTGTAAATGACATGAAAATACATAATATTCATACTGTTTATTTGCAATATTTGCACTTTTTGTATATATGACATTGTAAAAATAGATGATATTCTTATTCGTGTTTATTTGCAATATTTTCGCAACGTGTTATAAAGTCATCTTTTCTCTCGCCTCCTCATCCTCTCAGGTGATGCTCGGAGGTTCCTGGTTCAACCGCCTGCTGGGTCGTGACGGAGAGCTGCCCTCGGGACAGGAACTGGTCTGGCTGGCGACGGAGGCGGCCGCAAAGCACCTAGACATCAAGGCACATCCCATACGCTCACAGGCCATGCTGCAGAAGGTGAGTCTGTCACTCAGTCTGTGACTTGATCTGTGGCTCAGACTGTGACTCGGTTTTTGAGTCTGTCTGTGAGTCTGTGATACATATATATATATATATATATATATCAATGACTATTCAGTAACTTCCAGGAAACATATTTGGATGTATCACCAATATATCAGTAACTTCCAGGGAACACATTTAGACCATCTGAAATACCATCAGTTTGCACAGGGGTGTTCGTTTCATCATTTTCCTTCTATTGCTTATGTAACATTAGAGAACATCTCAAATGTGGGGGTAGGGGGAAAGTTTTCTGGACTTTGTGGACCATTTTTTTGCTCTGTCTTATCGCCATATCCTCAAAGTGATTCGGGGGGGGGGGGGAGGTTTTACAAAAGAATGATGTCGAAATGGTTTCAACTGCAGAAAAAAGTTACATCTTGAAAGAATGAAAAGAGTATTTGTTCAGATTTTGTTAACACTCATGTCTTAACTTATATATTGTTGGCGTTGTTCAAAGCTAAAAAAAAATTAAATTTTTTTTTAGGAAAGAGGAAAAGCTGCTTTATTTTTTTAACAATTTCAGCTACATTATGTATCTTATCTCGCTTTTTTCAACACTTATAATTTGATTTTCTCAGACACATGAAGCCTTTACCACAGATTAAGAAACTGCATTTTTTAAAAAGTTTTCATGACTTTGGGCTTAGTACATATCTGAAGAGATGGCCAACTGTATGCTAGACAAGGGAGTGAAAGGTTTGATGATTTTACCAAATTTAATGAAAAGAATGTTTGTTGAGATTTTTATATTGCTCATACCTTGACTTGTGTCAGTTGTTTTTGGGGTTGTTTTTTGTTTGTTTGTTTGTTGTTGTTTTTTGGGGGGGTCAGGAAGTGAGTTGGCTAAGAAAAGAATGCTTTTTGGTTTGTGAAATTAAATGGAAATAGATTCTTTAAAGTTCATCATGAAAGACGTTTTCTTTTACTGGGCGTTATAAAAAGTTTTCAGATTAACTTTCTATCACACAGATTGGAGGGGGTGTTGTTGTTTTTCTCTATCAATCAGTAGTCAGCACGACCTATGCTTAGTCTCCTCACCAAAACACTATAATAGGACTATTTTATATAAATGTATATATATGTATACAGCTGCCAACCAGAACAGAAAAAAACCGGCATATAATATGATATTTGGATTTGGGTACAGAAGTCCGTTTTCGCGTCAGAAACTGTATTCTCACCTAGAATGGTTTTTTTCCTATTTCAGGAATGTATTCCCCAGTACCGAGTGGGCCACGCCAGCTGGTTGCGTGGCGTAGAGGAGAAAATCAGTTCAGCGCGGCTGCCGTTGAAGTTGGTGGGATCGTCGTACCGCGGGCCTGCCATCAACGACTGCATCAACAACGCCAGGAAAGCTGTGCTGTCCTTGAAGCAGTCGTAGCATGATGGTGTGATGATGTCATCAGCCTACATACATACATACATAATTACATACGTATGTACATACATACGTACATACGTATATACATGATATGCACATACATACCTAGGTACATACATACTTACACACACACACACACACACACACACAGACATACAGACATACATACATACATATTTAAACATACAACAAATAAATGCACAAATTTTCCCCAATGCAGACAATTCTCCAGTCATGTAGGTAAAACACTGTATGAAAACATGTGGCTAGTCCTTAATTTCCAGTATGCTGAGCCCCCCCTAGCATGTCGGAAGTTCACCTCGTGATATATATATAATATCATATTACATGCCAGACCTACAAAAATGGGCCAGTTTTGGGGTCATAGTTTACACACACCACCCCTCCCCCACTCTTTGTCCAAGCCTAATCCCTGACCAGTGCCCTATATCAGCCCTGCCTTTGTGGTATGGCTCTGCTCCTGGTAAGTTTTATTAATAGTAATTACAATAATAATGGTAATAAATAGCATTTATATAATAATAATAGATAGCATTTGTACAGCGCAAATCCCCGCTCTACAGCAAGCTCTATGCACTTCACAATCTATACTATTACCCCAGCAGACCTTAAAGCATTCTGAAACAAACTCTACTTCCTGGGAAGCATACAGTGCAAGCAGCCATTTATAGGCACTAAAACACTAACATACTGACAAGATCTTTAGCTGTCTATGGCCGTGTACCCATATATAGCATATATCCTTGCTCAACAGCAAGCTACATGTGCTTTACAATCTATTAGTACCCCGGCAGACATTAGAACTTTCTGAAACATTCTCAGCTTTCCAAAAAGCATACAGTGCCGGCAGCTGATTAACTGATTCCCTCCAGACGCAAGCCCAGCAGGGTATTGTCTATTTACGGAAAGATGGCATGATAATTGGCCCAGTTATGGATAAACTATTAAAGCTAGATATAGAAATTTGAAAACTACATATCAAATTTTTGGAAATTGAACAGACTTTTCAAATATGTATCTGTTGTGCATGTCATAGTGCACTGAATGTGAACTTTGGTGGAGGAAAGAGAGTGAGTGATCATGTTATTATGATTTTGAAAAAAAAAGAAATTGACCTACCCCACTCTGCAGTCTGTGTTTGTAGATAGATATCCCAGAATTTCTCCAGCAATACAGGTAATGCAATTATATAAGTCAATGCAAAATTTGAAGTGTATAGGTTCACAAGTATTTGAGTTATAGCATTTCTCATATGGTCACTTGACGATAACATAAATGAGTCCATCGAAAGAGAAAACGACACTGAACACTTATCATTAGGGAAATGTGTCCTTTCACCACTCTTCTGTGTTCATATCTACATCACTGTTTGTTGTAATATGCCTGTTGCATATTTTGAGTATGGTAGCGCTCAAAACAGTCCTTTGGGTGAAGATCGGGTTTATGTGAGCTACCGGTGCAGAAGAAATTTGTGCGTTTGCGAGCCCCAGGACTGTTGCACTCTACACAATTCCTGTCTGAGTCTGTGTGGCTAATGAGGTGCCTGGCCCCCTGGAACCTTTCGACAAGTGTTTGGAGGGGCAGGCATATTGATTCTTTCTGCAAGGTTCCTGCGGCCTCTTTGAATTCAAGGAGTCCTTGAAAACTAAATTCAAGGAAAATCTCTTTGAATTTGAGGAACCTCCTTCAAAACTTCTTGAATTTAGCCGGATGGGACATGAACAAAATTTGTGTCAGATTGCTCTTGGCGCACCGTCGAAAACGACATGAATTTCTTGACCAAATGTCCTTGAATTTTAAGAATTTTTTCTTGAAACCTCCTTTTTGGTGGGGAGTCCATGGCAGGAGCCCTGTTTCTGTTGCATCATGTCCACTGCCTGGTTAACAAGCTCAGAGATCAGCATCTTTTTTAATGTAATGAGACTGACACGTTGTTGGCGCGTTTCATTGTACAAAACCAAAGCGTTCAACTGAACAAGTTCCACTTTCCAATGGAACAGCTTTTTCCGCCACTTGTATGTTTTTCTTTCAAACACGCTGTTATAGCCAGCATTTTGGTCGACGCTGTCACATCCATTCATGTTGTCGTTGTCGGAATGGACGACCGAGGGTTTGTGGGCTAGTCGTCCTCTGCTTGTTTGATGCTCCTCCATATGATGAGCAGTTGCGTGAGTGGAGACAACGACAACAGGGGTCTTTGCCTTTTTATCCTTCCACGCAACACGTGGTGCTGCTGTCATGGTTGAAAAACTACTTTCATTCTTGATGCTGAAAACGAAGTGTTTTCAGGGTGGGCAGAAAACCTTTCCACTGGGTGTTCAGTAGATTCCCTTTGCTAATAAGTACTGTATTGGCTTTTGCGATGTGTGGTACCTATCAGCAAAGACATGATGACCACGGGTAGTTAGAGGGTGAAGTAGGTACTCAAATACCTTGACGGCTTGAGGGTTGCTGTTGTCCAGGTCAACGCTGAAACTAGTTCTGCTCCAAAGTAGACAAGCAGATTCACCACATATCCTGTCCTGCTGTCCACCAACCCCAAAACTTCTCTTGGAAGACAAAGTGTCTCCAGATGGCGCCAAATTTCCACTTCTGTAGCGGTGAATGGTTGAGCCAGTGATTTCTCCTTCTGTTGTCTGTGCAGATCAAATGATGACACAACTAACTGAGCTTCTTGGCAGGGGTAGGAGATATTTCATCGGTCTCCTTCAGTGAGTCTTCTTCTTGCGTTGGCTTTTACAGCATGATATTCTCTGCAACTCTTTTCAGCTTATCCACGGCTTCATCTGATAAGTCACGGCAGGAAAAGCCGTCGCGTTTGAATCGAGGGTCCAGCAACGTGGAAAGCCTCAGATTGTCTTTCGTGTTGATGTTTCTAAGTCTCTCCTGCAATTGTGTCCTTAGGTATTTTCCAAGGTCAGTTGTATCCCCCGTAAGGCTGTTGAAGAGAAGATGGACTAGAGGAATTATTTTTTAAGCAGAGGTATGAAGCTCTGTTAACAGCTCCACAGTTGCTTCAAAAAAGGGCTCCAGTGTTCTCATGGCCGCTTGAAGAACATCCGGTTCATCTGCTGTGATGCACTGGTCTGCTTTCTTGTAAGACAGAGTGCAGTCGTCACTTGCTCATGTTGATAAACGTAGGACTTGAGCATTTCGAAGGTGCTGTTCCACCGTGTCTCCACGTCCTGTTTTAACTTGCAATGCCCTGTCTGACTGTTCTTGTGTGCGTCCCTCAATGCGGTGTTGGCTAATGAGCTATGGTGAAAAAAAGTCACAATGTTTTTTACTTTCGTCTTTGCAGCAAATACTTCAGGGGTTTTGCGGATCGACTCCTTAACCATCAGATAAAGGGTATGGGCGAAACAAGGCTGGTGTCTGATCTTCAATTACTCAACAGCGTTCTTGACGTTGGCAGCATTGTCTGTGACGGTCGTTGTGACCATTTTCTCGATTCCCCACTCTGAGAAGAGGCCTCGTACAGCTGAGGTGATTCTCTCTCCTGTGTGGGATCCTTCGAGGGTATTTGTGGACAACACCCGAGAATGAAGATGCCCGTCGAGATCGATGAAGTGGACTGTCACTGTCATGTAAGCCTCCACTTTCCTTGATGTCCAACAATCTGTGGTGATTGTGACCTGATCCACTTGTAGAAGCATTGCCATCTATTTGAGCTTCTCGTTGTTGTATAGACCTGGCAGGAGATGAGAAGTCAATTGTTTCCTCGAAGCGATTTCATAACGGGGGTCCATCTTAGACATGAGTCTAAAAACCCTCTACTATTAAAAAAAAAAAAAAAAAAAGACATGAGTCACCTGAACGCCTTGTTCTCTTCAACCGAGAGAGGTTGTAAATCTTTTGTGATGAGCGCAAGGACGCATGAGTCCAATTCTTTTTTCCTGGCACTTCCAAGTTTGTACTTTAGAGTACGTTCAACAACAGCCTCAATAGTCACCCACTTTGCAGTCGCAGTACATGTAGATGTTGACATTGACGTGCCCGTTGCATATGTAACATTAACTGACATGTTGCCCGTTCTTCAAGTCTTGCTAAAAAAACCATTCCACAAGGCACTGTGCAGGGAGGGTGAAGGAGAGGCAGGCAGAAGAAAAGATAGGAGGATAACATCCGAGAATGGACAGCCATGGAGCTGTGGGACACACTGAGGAAAGCAGAGAGCTGAGTGGAGTGGAGGAGATTAGTTATCATCTGTCACTACTGTCAGGGGCCAACCAACAGATGACAAATCTACGGGAGCAGTAGAAAACTAGAAGAATATATTTTGTTCGGTCTTATTGGAGATGAACGTTGAACTCAGAGCTCCCGCTTCTTACATTTTTAAATAACCTAATTGCGTTGATAGGGGTATTGAACTTGTGTGTGTGTTGAACCCACACAGTTAGTTACTTACTATAAAACAGTGGTAAGTCATTGAGTAGTTCTCACCCATCATGGCCTATCAGAATATATGTTGGGACTTTGCTGGTTGTGACACATCAGTATGCATAAAGTTTGGTGGAGTTATTTATAAGTGACTTACTTGTACTGAATGACAAATGGAGACGTCTTCCTTATTAGGTCTTTTCATTCCTTTTTTGGCAAATCATTTCAAAAATAGAATTTTTGAGATTTTTCAAGAATTTTTTTACATTTTTGAGGAATCTGTTACTAGTCAGCTCATGATGTAGGTAGGCTACAGTTGTTACAAGAATGAAACAGTTGTGGTTTTTTCCTTCTCTCTCCTGTAAAATTGTACTTTCTGGGAACAGCTTACACGTAGGCTACTGACAAAATTAATATTAGCTTTTTTGTCCTGTTTCAAAAGCTGATCCAAGACAAATATAATTCCCATGAAGTTGATTTGCAAGGAAAATTTATCTCCCCTTCCATCTCCTTTTTTTCCCCCGCTTTTCCAAAGATGTCAATGATTTGATTTGCCAGATCTTTCGGGAGGGTTTTTTGTGAATAAAAAGACCTTTGTTGTAAGGAAGACCATCGCCTTGTCAAAGTGCAAGCTCCTTATTTTTAGTACAAGAAGTGTAGCGTTGATGGTCTAGTGGTCAGGCTGTTGGGCTTGCAACTGGAAGGTGGTTGTTTTGAGCCCCATCAGGGGCCCGATTTTGTGTTATTGGGAAAGGCACTTTACACGAATTTTCACCACTTTGTAGGTAGCCTAGTCCTTCGTTGCCGAAGATGATGATGAATCCTGCAGCTCATCTGTGGACGCGCATGTGGCTTTACCCAGGTGGGAATAGATGCCCAGCTATAGATAGCTCCAGCAAATCTTCTTAAGTTGTTACTGTTTTAGCACTTAATCAGCATCTTACACTGTATGCCTCCTGAGACACCAAGAATGTTTCTCTCTATTATTGGGGCTAGAGTAATGATATAGATTGTAGTAAAGCGCATAGAGCTTGCTGTTATGTGAGGGTGTGTGTTATTGTTATACAAATGCTACTAATTATTATTATTTTATTATTGTTGTATCTTTGGAACATGATGATGTACAAAAATATTCTTTTCTTTTTTTCGGAGTCACGTCTGTAGCACTTTTTATTTGTACTCAGACATCTTAAATCAGTTTATGAGGTGGAGTTTGGGTAGTTCTCCTGCTGTGGGGAATTATTAGTTGAATGACAATGGGTATTCTATGCATGTGATATTCAGAGTAAGCATTACAGTAATGAGTTATCTGTTTGAATTATTTAAACTGTTAAAAGATTGTTGCTGGCGAGTTTTGTTGTCTCGATGTGATGTTTTGTTGCTTTTTTCTCTTGTGTGCAATAGAATTTTGTGTTATTGTTTGTTGCTGATCAGCAACAGATGCAAATTTTGATTGGTGTGAGTAGCTGCAGAGTAGGAAAGCCATGTACTAGCCTACTGTAAATCCTAGATCTGATGATGGTTTTTCAGATGAGGCAAATTATGTAATAGCAGAGACTGCAATAAGTTATATTTATAATATTATATTTCTTTTAAGAAAATGATATGTCACTGTATCAGGTAATTTCTGAGTGTGGTTTGATTTACTGTGTCCTAGAAGTAGAAGGGTTCTAAAAGTGTTTATTGTTTCTTTTATTCATTTCTCAAAAGTTTTGTATTCAGGGGTGTATCATGTTCATATTAAATCGAAGGACAAGTGCAGTTAAGAAAAGAAAATTGTTGGCGCAAATGTGGGTGGGTTTGTTTGGGGGTTTTTTTGGGGGGGGGGGGTGGTAATGTTTTGTAATGTAATAAAAATGAAGAGAATTACTTAATGGAAAAGATCCTCTATGTAACGTTTTATCATTCATATCTTATTTTGTCTAACTGCAAAGTTTCAACTTATTTTGTTTGAAAACAGAACAGCCTTTGGCAAAAAACTTATGGTATGAAAAAATCCAATCTAGCCAAATTTTTTTCCAGTACAGACATTCATTTTTCCTAATATATTTTTGACATAACATAAATAATCTGACTGGCCCCCAAAAACAAGCTTTCAACACTATAACGCACTGTCAAAGTATTTGTGAATTTGACCTCTTTTTCCACGCACTAGCCATTTATTTGTTTGGCTGAGCACATCTTGTCATGAATTTGTAAAACAATTAGCTATGCACATGTTAATTGCTGATGAAACTGCCACTGCCTTTTCCTGTGTTTTGATATCGTCACTCTTGACCTCTTGTGATATTGATGTGAACCAAGGATATGTGACAACTGTATGCTGAGAAAGTTTGGGGGGTTTTATTTCATATATATATACGACTTGAATTCAAAATTTTAGCATTTTTTAAAAAGAAATTTGACAGACATTTATGAAAGCTGTTATTCTAGTACTAGTAGTGTTTGGCACTTCGCTTTAGTACTCAGGAGACTCAAGTCCAGTTCCTGAGTAGGAAGAAATTTTTATTAAGTATCTCAGTCTTTCTGCTGGGATGTATCCCTCTCCTCTCAACCCAAGTTGGCCCTGACAGGCAGGGTTGGAAGTCTGCCTTCTAAACGATTTATAAAGTTTGTCAATAGGGACTACATGAAAGAAATTTCTACCGAGCAAAATGTATGTATACTAATAATAGCTTACTAGCTGTTTGACAGGTTTTTTACTCGACTGCAAACTCTTTGAATTCTAGTTGATGAGATTCCAACAGAGGACCAACGACTTGACACTGGACAACGAATTCAAAACATTCATCAAAATAATAAATAAAATGAAACTTTCAAAATGTGAGGAAAAAAAAAAAGTGCACAGTGCATGCTGTCA